TAGGAGTAGGAGTAGGAGTAGGAGTAGGAGTAGGAGTAGGAGTAGGAGTAGGAGTCAAGCTAGCCAGCTCGAGCGAGTCAAGCATGGCATGCCCAGTCCCACCCGCCCTCCCACAACATAAGAAGCAAAGCTGGCACAACTGGGGGCCGAAGTCACACCGGCCAGCCGGTTTGGTACAGCTGATGCGGCCGCGATGGCGGTTGCCGACGGGAACTGGCGAGCGCGTGTTGAATGCCGCGCACGCATTGCCAGACGAGTCGAGAATGGCCCGGTACACCGCAGGCGTTGGTGCGCGGCGCCGAGGCGAGATCGAACCGTCACCCCTTCGCGCGGGGTGTGCGCCGCGTCCCATTCCTGCCACGCATTTTGCGACGTGACGACAGCACGACCATGTTGACAAGAAAAAAAAACTGTGTATTGTCTTTTGCAGATTAGAATGGGACGGATTGGATGGGCGGGCGCGGGGTGTGCGCCGCGTCCCATTCCTGCCATTTTGCGACGTGGACGACAGGACGTCCATGCGACGGTGCCAATGACGGCGACGACTCTAGAAGGATTTGAGCATGCGCTCGCGGCGACGCGCGCGCATGTCGCCCGCGTGGTATTTTTTGCACAGGATTCGCGGCCTGGGTGCATGACAGAGCATCGCGAGTGCACCGCGCGATGACGTGAAATCGCTGGATTTGACAGATTTCTTAAGATTCCTATGGTTTTCCTATGATTTCAGCAAGAGAGCCCGGGCGGGAAATTTGTACAATTTTTGTGAAAAAGCATTGGGTTTTTGATGTTTTTATGTTGAAATGCTTGCAAACACACGGTGTTCGGTAGGATTCTGACATGAACGCGCGCGTGTGCTCTTTGTGGTATTTTTTGCAATGGATTATCGCCGTGGACGACAGGACGTCCATGTCGAGAGGAAAAAATAAGAAAAATGTTGATTTTGTATTGTTTTTTACAGGTTAGGATGGGACCACCCGGATGGGCCCCCTATCTGCCGGCCTGAGGGGGGAGTAGAGTATATTCTAATAAGGAATAAGGATAGGAGTAGGAGTAGGAGTAGGAGTAGGTAGGAGTAGGAGTAGGAGTAGGAGTCAAGCTAGCCAGCTCGAGCGAGTCAAGCATGGCATGCCCAGTCCCACCCGCCCTCCCACAACATAAGAAGCAAAGCTGGCACAACTGGGGGCCGAAGTCACACCGGCCAGCCGGTTTGGTACAGCTGATGCGGCCGCGATGGCGGTTGCCGACGGGAACTGGCGAGCGCGTGTTGAATGCCGCGCACGCATTGCCAGACGAGTCGAGAATGGCCCGGTACACCGCAGGAAGCCAGAGGTGGCCGGAGGAAGCCCGACGGTCTGACAGGACACCCCAAAGCATTTTTGTGAAAAAGCATTGGGTTTTTGATGTTTTTATGTTGAAATGCTTGCAAACACACGGTGTTCGGTAGGATTCTGACATGAACGCGCGAGTGTGCTCTTTGTGGTATTTTTTGCACAGGATTCGCGGCCTGGGTGCATGACAGAGCATCGCGAGTGCACCGCGCGATGACGTGAAATCGCTGGATTTGACCGAATTCTTAAGATTCCTATGGTTTTCCTATGATTTCAGCAAGAGAGCCCGGGCGGGAAATTTGTACAACTTTTGTGAAAAAAAGCATTGGGTTTTTGATGTTTTTATGTTGAAATGCTTGCAAACACACGGTGTTCGGTAGGATTCTGACATGAACGCGCGCGTGTGCTCTTTGTGGTATTTTTTGCAATGGATTATCGCCGTGGACGACAGGACGTCCATGTCGAGAGGAAAAAATAAGAAAAATGTTGATTTTGTATTGTTTTTTACAGGTTAGGATGGGACCACCCGGATGCGCCCGCTATCTGCCGGCCTGAGGGGGGAGTAGGAGTATATTCTAATAAGGAATAAGGATAGGAGTAGGAGTAGGAGTATGGAGTAGTAGTAGTAGTAGTAGTAGTAGTAGTAGTAGTAGTAGTAGTAGTAGTAGTAGTTAGTAGTAGTAGTAGTAGTGTGGTAGTTGTAGTGGTAGTAGTAGTAGTAGTGGTTATAAGTAGTAGTGTGGTGGTGGTGGTAGGTGGTGGTGGTAGGTGGTGGTGGTGGCAGTAGTAGTAGTAGTAGTAGTAGTAGTAGTAGTAGTAGTAGTAGTAGTAGTAGTAGTAGTAGTAGTAATAGTAATAGCAACAGAAGTAGTCGTAGTAGTCGTCGTCGTGGTAGTAGTAGTAGTAATAGTCGTAGACGTAGCAGTAGTAGTAGCAGTAGTAGTAATAGCAGTAGTCGTAGTGATAATAAGACTAGTGTACGCGTGGTCGTAGTAATAGTAGTAAAATGACAATACTCTAGTACTGGTTGTACACAGAATACGTTAGTATGTTGTGAGGTTGTAGTAGTTAGTAGTAGTACTCTAGTATTTTTAGTAGCAGTAGTGGCACTCTCGTACTGGCTGTAGCAGTAGCACTGTAGTACGGCAGTACGACAGTGGCAATGCAATGCGATGCGATCGCATTGCAGCGCGGTGTGGATGCATCGAACTGCCCCGCGAGACCCTTGAGTGCTCCAGAGCACTCTAGAGCGGTCTGGAACCCTGCAGGCCTGTCACGGCTCCTTTGCGGCCAGCACCGCTGGTGGTGGTCGACTAGTGGCGGGAGAAGGGGGAGGCGCGTTTAACATATGTTCTTCTGGGGTTGGGCCCTCCCCCACGAACCACCACCACCACCATCACTACCACCCCCACCGCCCCGGCGGGGCGGGCGTCCACGGGAGAGCAGAGAGAGAGAGATAGAGACAGAGAGCGAGAGAGGAAGGAATGGAGGGGAGGGAAGGAGGGAGGGAGAGAGAGAGGGAGGGGAAGAGAGAGAGAGAGAGGGAGCTGCGGAGAAGGGAGAGGAACAAGAGGCGAGAGGGGACACGACAATGAAATGATGGATTTCGCAGAGGGGGGGGGGTGCGACCCCCGAACCTACTCAAAGACCCCCCTTCGGCAGCCCTCGCTGCCCCCCCAATTATCACCCCCCCATTAGGCGCCCTCTCAGCGCCGAGGCATGGTAGACTGCCGGTTGCTGTCTGATGGGGTTTCTGTAGTCGAAGGCCCCTCGCCCCGTCCCCCTCTTGCAGCACTGACCCGCGTGCAGCGCTCCTCCTCCCCGAGGGTTCCCTGGGCGCCCCGCCCCGACGACTCCCCGGCGCTCTCCGGGGGGGTCAAGTACAGTCGGACCTGGGACAGAAGAGCATCCTGCATGAGCATCGTTTAACCGATCCCCATCCCCACCAGCGTGGGCTGGGCCCCACCGGACGCTTCACCCCCTTGGATGGGGATATAGGATGCTCTCTTCGGGCTTCGAGGGTCATATCCCCAACTGAGGTGGTGAGACGGTGGGGCTGGAGATGCGGATGGGGATGGGGGTAAGGATCGATTAAACGATAATGACTTCAAGAACACGAGACCCTCCGCCGGCCCAAACCGAAGAACCTTCGAGGATGCCCCCCCCAGGATGCACAAGAGCATCCAGCAAACACGAAGAACAGCAGGGCACCCTCCCCAAACCGACCTCGATCTTGTACATCTGTCCGACTGTATGATCAAGGCGGCTTCCAAAAAACCCCAGGCAGGTCACCAAGACCGCCGTCAAGGCCGGACATTGCCTTACGAGCTACCCAACAGCTCCCAAGAAGACCCCAAGGGCACCCAACAGGCTCGAAGCGGCTTACAAGATACGCCAAACACGCTTTCCAGGAGGGCATCGAGAAGCCGCCGACATTGGTGGGTACGGTGTGTTTCAATGTTTTCCAACTTCCACTCCGTTCGATCGAATACCGCTCCACTTGCGGTCTTCGAGCGACCAAACATGCCCACTGAGAGCCCCAAGAAGGCCCTCAGACGGCGCCAAGCTGACCCAGCGGGCCTCCAGAGGGACCCAAGACCGCCTAAGAATGCCCCAAAAATGGCCAAAGAGGGCCACACAAGACGGCACCACCAAGGCCCGAAGAGACAGATGGCTCGAGATGGTCCAACACATCTCAATCGAGTTAATCGCATTCTGCTGATGCAACGCCTTGCTCAAGCCCCACCTCCTCAAGTCAGGGAACGAGTTATGCTGCCGACTGGTGAACGCATGGAAAGGCTCAGCGGGTCCGACAAGGTAGCAGAGTCAACATCGAAATAGGCAGAGAGGACAACGTGAACGGTGAGGGCTCGGACAACATTGTATAACTTACCAGCACGGAGCCCCAGCCTGGCTACAACGAGAACTCACTGCCAGTGTTTGGTTTAGCTGACCCAGCGTCAGTGAACCCCCCCAGCTGGAATCAATTGTTACGCGGTGTCTGGGCCAATGTGACAACTAGTCGTCACAAGCAAGCTTCAGATGGTAACAAGTATGCATGACAAGTGGCATGCATTCAATGGTACCATAGCTGTGGTACAACATAACGTTGCACACATCGAATCGATTCCCAACGCTTACGAATTACAACACAACGTGGCATGGGGGCATGGTTGGAATGGTGAACTATGACGCTATGGTAGCATCATGTGCGCTGGGCCCCAAACAGTTTCCATGGGGGCACGATCACAAGTCTAACTCTCTTACCAGGTCGACAAGAGGAATAGGGGAGATAGAGAGACAAAGAAACAGAGTGACAGAGAGACAGCGGGAAGAACAAAACAGAGATAACAACAAGAGGAGAGATGTCACGATTGCCGTGACACACCCATCTCCGCATTAATTTCTGTCGCTCCAGCGAGAACAACAAAAAACGGCGGCTCGGGACAAACCATAATAACGCAATAACGTAAAACTAAAACGGTACAAGCCAAGTCCACGGATTAAAACGGCAGCGGAGAAATAAGGAGGGCAACGATTGGCCTACATGGAACATCGAGAAGCCGCAGGAACAGAACCGATAAGGATGCGGGCAATGAGGCCAGAATCATTGTGGTCACACTACTGATGCGGATGGGCGGCGGCAGCAGCAGCAGATCAGCAGGGGTCAGCATCGCGCGGCGCCAAGGATTGCCCATGGGCGTCGCGTCGTCTGGGGGGCGCGCGCGCGAAGCGGAAACTGATGCCCGTCCCCCTCACGTACCTTCCCTGGTTAGCCCTTGGCATTCTCTGCATACTGCCAGGTCGAAGGAAGCGGTGGAAAATCTGGCCCCTGGAGACACAAGGGGGAACCTCGGGCGCCTTGGGATACCTCAATGCGCCGAGAGGAGGGGACGAGGAGGGCGAAGACAGAGCGGTAGGGGGCGGAGTGGACATGAGGAAGAGGGAAGGGGAGAGATGGGAGGAGGGGAAGGGGGAGGCGATGTGGTAGGAGGCCCTTCTTCAATCACCAAATGGTAGATCCGCCTGTCGGAGCAACGTATGTGTCAAGGAACTGCGCTGCAGGCTGGGAGGCGCGTGCGAAAGCCCGTGGAACTGTCACAAACATGCTCCGCGATAAAGGAGGAACGCTGGGCCGGCACTGATTGACTTGAATCTGGCAGCTACAGCAGTAGAGACCACAGTGGGACTGGAGACGGAACCCTTAACAACACTAGCTGGCAAACCACTCACACCTGCACATGCGGCAGAAGGGCCCCTCATCACACCAGTCAATAAAAAGCAGAAAAGGCATCGGATTGGATCGCGGAAGAGACGGGGGGCATGAGCTGGTTTCGCCGGCGATGTTTTCGCCGGCGATGGTTTCGCCCCGCTGGTATCGCCGACGGCTGGTTTCGCCGGCGCTGGTTTCGCTGGCGCTGGTTTCGCCCCGTTGGTTTCGCCCCGCTGGTTTCGCCAGCGGGTGGTTTCGACGGCGCTGCTTTCGCCGGCGCTGGTTTCGCCGACGCGTGCCTTGACGGGCGGGTCGTGTCGGGCGGGCGGACCCTGGCGGGCGGGTCGGGTCGGGTCGGGCGGGCGAACCCTAACGGGCGGTTCGGGTCGGGGGGGGGTGGGCCGGGACAGTAAAGTGTGGGGGGGCGCTCGACCGAACACGCGCGAACCCTAACAAGCGGGTCGGGTCGGGCGGGGCGAAACCCTAGCGGGCGGGTCGGGTCGGGTCGGGCGGGCGGACCCTAACGGGCGGGTCGGGTCGGGCGGGCGGGACATTTAAGTGTGGGGCGCGTTCGACCGAGCAGGCGCGAACCCTAACAGGCGGGTCGGGTCGGGCGAGCGAACCCTAGCGGGCGTGTCGGGTCGGGCGGGCGGACCCTAACGGGCGGGTCGGGTCGGGCGGGCGGGACATTCAAGTGTGGGGCGCGCTCGACCGAGCACGCGCGAACCCTAACAGGCGGGTCGGGTCGGGCGGGCGGACCCTAGTAGCGGGCGGGTCGGGTCGGGCAGTTTCGCCGACGGCAGCTGGTTTCGCCGACGGCAGCTGGTTTCGCCGACGGAGCTGGTTTCGCCGACCGAACTGGTCTCGCCGGGCGGCGAAACCAGCCAGGCGAAACCAGCCGTCGGCGAAACCAGCGGTCACCGGAGAGGGAACGCAAAGGGCGAAGGAGCGGGAAAGAGGAAAGAGAGGAGAAGAGAAGGAGGGAGGAATGGAAAGAAAAGGAGGAGGAAGGAGAAGAGAAGGAGGGAGGAATGGAATGAGAAAATGAGAAAGAGAGAGCAACGAGGAGGGAGGGGAGGGAGCAGGAGGGGAAGGGAGACCAGGAAGGAGAAGAGGCGGGCAAGGGAGGAGGGAGACGGGAGGAGGAAAAAGTTTGCTTAGCATCAACGCACAGCTACCCAACGATACAACCGGCGGGTGGGCGAGGCCCGCCTGCGGTCGCTCCTCGGCGATAACCACTGCCACTCTGGTGCGAGAGGGGGCCAGGGCTAAGACATTGCGCAAAGCCGAGACCACCGGAACCAAAAGGCAGGCGTGCACTCGGAGACCGTTTCCCCCGTGCAACAGGACCCCAAGATGGAGACCTCGCCTCGGCGAGCGCCGCTTCGGGAAGGGGTTTCGCGAGTTCCTTTCGGAGCGCCCACTGCGGCCCCCTCGCCTCGCGGATCGACCCTTGGCTCAGCCGCCACCAACAGGGCATCCGTCGGCTACGCAAGACAGAGGCCGCTGTCGAGGGTCCAAATGGAGGTGACGGGAAGCACAGGACGGGGAGGACAGGACAGACCTCCCCCGTGCCCCGACGCACTCAGCAAAAGCGGCGGCCCCCTTGTGCAACGGTCACCGCGGGGGGGGGGAATAACTTCCAGCGCCCCACGGCCGTGCAAACAGGGGGACGCGGACACGGCACGCAGCCGTGAGAAGGACGGCCTCGGGGGGACCCCAGGTCGAGCCCGCTACGTGAGTCCAGCGACCGCAGCAAAAAAGTATAAAGGAGCGGCCCCCTGAGCAGCGGTCACCGCAAAGGAAGAACTACCTCCGGCGCCCCACGGCCGCGCGCGCAGGGGGATGTGGACTCACCCAGTAATGACAAGGACGGCCACAGGGGACCCCAAATCGAACCCGCCGCGCGAGCCCGACAGCCGCCATCCTAGAGGGAAGAGCGCCCCCCCCGTGCAGCTGTCGCCGCAGGGGGGGGATTACCTTCAGCGCCCCACGGCCGCGCAAGCGGGAGGAGTGGACACACGCGCAGCAGTGAGAAAGACGGCCGCTAGGGCCCCAGATCGAACCCGCCGCGCAGGTCCAGTGACCGCAGAACAGACAACCCACTACACCCGATGGGGTGATTATACACGGGAGAATAGAAGTTGAGCTCGCAATCGCGGCTCTAGTCAGAGCCAGAAGAATCCCCCCCCACCCAAGCCCCCCATCAACATCGCCGGACAAGTCTGAAGACAGCGAGTGCGAGGACTGGCCGTCCAGGCCATGCCAGAAAGACCCGCGGGCGCCCAGCTTTCGGTCTTCCTCGCAAGGAAATCCTGCCGCGCGGCTGGCAGCACTCGATGCGGCACTTGGAGCTCCCGCGGCGCCGTCCTCCAGACACTCAGCGCCGACCTCGGGTCGGAGCCTTTCGTCCTGATCGCCGCGCCCGTCGCCGTGGGGGGCGGGGAGGTCGGGCAAGAGGGGGAGCCCAGGGTCGAGACCTGGAGCGAAACTGGGAATCGCAGGGGTGTCCACAATCCGAAGGTCCTTGACTCGCGGGTGGGCGCCAGCCATGACCTTATTGAAGACACTCCCGCTGTTCCTGCTTGGCTGATTGATGCACCCACAAGCAAAGTTACTCTTACACAGTACTCCCCGGTGGAGGAATGCCCCACATCTAAAGAAAAGAAAACAATCCGAGCCATCAGAAGCATGGAACAAAGCAGGTTCGCGGCCATTCGCCTCGGCAACATCCACGTCATGTTGGTTTGAGCCAGCACACTTGCCAGGCTCAGGCTTCACCGCGGACCTTGAGCCTAGCCTATGACTCATCACCTCCAGACATTATCAGAACGGCGCCAGTCATGCTGCTCGCGTTGCTCCAGCTCCTTCGGGGCACGGGACGGCGCAACAAACGCAACACCACTCAAATCTAGTCTCGGCCACCTCGGAAGTAGTTTAGCGGCGAGCCTACACGCAGTCTTGGAGATACCCACAAGCCCATCGACAACCTCGCGCTCAGCATGCGACGCTCTGGGGTGGAGGAGGGCGCCCTCTCTCGCCGCACGGTCGGCATCATCATTGCCTTTCCTTCTGAACGGCTCCTCGGGCTCAAGATCGGGTTCGTCAACAGAAAGGTGGGCCCGAACTTTCGTAAGCGACGTGATGAGAGACGCAGGATGGACACACTGGAAGATGCCTGAGCACTTGCGCTTGTAAGAGAGCCGCTGAGATGGGGGCAGGCCGTGGTGTCCCACCACAGCGGCACAGTCGGAGTAGACGCGGCTGTCCCCCATAGCCTGGAGAAACGCCATACCGAATGCAAAATAACTCGGCCGCAGGCGCGGTCTGCGGCAACGGGGGGCGCACTGGGCCGAGGACGGAACTGCCCAGCTCCCCATCCTCAGCGGCGTGGCACACACTCCAGCCAGCTCGACCTAAATCTACGATCGGATGTCTGAAGACCGACCCGTCGACAAACGAGCTCCCTTGCGAATCCCCCGTCTCCCCTTCAGGATTGCTGTCCGATCTGATCACCTGTCCACCGATCGCCAGTGGCTTAGGCCAGAAGGAAACGGGATGGGCAAAGGTGCCCCTGGTGAACAACACAAGACCCGAAGGGGGAGAGCTCGCCACCAGATTCGGCGAGCACTGAGGCCGAGGCAGGCTCCGCGCGCTCCTCAGCGCACACCTCGCACTGCCACGGCCGATGGGGAAACGAGCCCTTGGCCCTGCCACAGAGCGGACAGAGCAACTGCTGCTCGGCAGGCACGTAGCCGAGCTTGGACGTTCGGCTGTCCAGCAGCCGTCGCACGCTGAACATCGGATAGTCCCCCGTCCCAGCGGTGAGTACTTGCTCGATCTAGACTGCGCTCTCACAGTAGCTTAGCAAGCTCTTCTCCAACCTTCCCCGATTTTGCTCGCCGCCGAAACCTCGAGGAGCCTGATGATGGCCTGGTGGGCTGCTCCTTTTGCACGTGAACCTGGCTGACTCTGGCCTGGTGGGGGGATGCCCTTGGTGAGCTGGGGGCAAATAAACGTAAGGGGGATATCCACACCGTTGTGGTCCCGAAGAACAGCAAAGCTCGGCATCGTCCACCCAAGGCGTTTGACCCACAAGAACAGGGCCCAAACAGGCCCTCCAACCGAGTTCCACTTGACAGGCTGACGTTTGGGATGCTCGAAAATCGTAGACCACGGTTTCCTCAAGTCAGAGAGGGAGGTGGAGTAAAGGAACGAGTGGCACTGTCCAGCCCACACTTCTGTGCTCCAACACAAACTGGGACCAACCGCAGCGTACCAGCAAGGGTCGTCAGCACAGATAAGCGTCGCCGTTAAAGACCTCCCTCCTGCTGATGGCCTCATGCACTTACCCGCCTCCCTCCTGAGCAACTTGAGCTCCCTGTCGCTGGCCCCGTGCACCTCCGCCCAATATGCGATGTCTGGCAGAGGCCCGCTGGCAAAGATACGACGAGCCGCAGCACCTAAAAACTTGCGTTGCCGAACTATGCGTCGCACTC